GGTGGTGGTGGAGGTGGCGGTGGCGGGGGTGGGAACGACGCTTGTGCCGCGCACGACGACAAAGGGCCGGGAAGATAACCAGCGTAGCCAGCCGTGCTTCCGTATCCCCATGAATTGCTTGCAGTCAGACCGAACTGGGACATGTCTGAGGAGATCATGCTCGTTCGTGTATCACAATTGCGATTTTTGATCCTTTTCGGCCATCTCGACTAACGCGTCCTTCGTTTATGATCGAAGCAAATCAAATGATTAGTTAATCCTTTCAACGCTAACGAAACCATCTAGGGCGACGAATATGTAAATAGGACAAGTTCTTCTGACAATTTAATTCGAGCTATATCTTTGTTTAAATTTTTGTACGTTTTTGAACGTTCAACTCGAATGAAAAATGAAAACACCACGTATTTCTTGAATGTCTATTACAGGTTTGTGAACGAACCGATAGTGTAATAATATTTATCTATAGAGAATATGTGTTTCACAGGAGAGATGGTGACAAAATGTTTGTGTTTATTGTGATTTAATATTTTGTGTGTATATATAAAGAATATAATCTATTATTTCTAACGTATGTGATTAACGATGGATATACAAATTATATATGATAAATAATTTTAAGGACTTTGCATTTTTGTTTTTGTGTAATTTCAACATTGATGTAAGCAATATTCATAAACGACGTCGGACATCTGAGCACTGAAAGGATTAACAATTATTCTTTATGAAACATATTTCTTTTTACCAGAAATGAAATCGAGAGATAAAGTGAGAATAATTTTCCTTATGAGCATATTGAATTTTATGATCATGATAATACGATTTTACGATAATATGATTTTACCAAGAATTCGACGAGTTTTATGTTAAAACACTTATTCTTGTTGCATGTTTGTTGTTCAAAGTTTGAAGTTCTCAAAGGTCCAAGTTAAATGATCAAGAAACAAGCCGTAGTACTTTATACTAACACAAATAGAACTTGAATTGAAAAGGGGGGGGTACTTAGCACAGCAGGAAAACACATTGAAAGCAGCCAGCAAACGAGGAGCGCAAGCCAACAGAGGAGCATTTACGAACTTGTAAGAAGCGGTGCCATAATATAGTACACTTTCTCCAACTAGTCCTCCAAGCCCCGTTTCTCTCGAAAACATAACGCAAAGCTGATAAAAGAGCGAAGCACAAAGGCGAGCGAGGCTAAACTTAAATATCTTCCAAGCAAATCCATTTGCAGCGAATCAGGCAACAGGAAGCCAAAGAATCGCGTCGATATAACGACGAAAAACGTAAAGCCAAATATCAATCGGACGATTCCGCGAGCTATTACTTTTGAAAAAATATTCATTTCGAACATCTTAACTTTGAAAATTCATTTTGGATATCTAAGCGTGCACATAATTATACCTGGACTTTTAATTAACTTCGCTGTAAATTAATATCTGTACTTACGTATACGTATTGGATGTTAGAGGACACAAAGAAACAGGAAATTTCATAAAGATAAATGTTATTACTTCAGAAATTGTGCAAAATATTTTACATTCTGTTGAATACACGATTCTGTTCTTTGTAGTAAATTTCCATGAAATTAAATTCCTTTTATTACAAAGCAATGAAAGTTACCGTGTGTGAATGTTCTGTTTTATTGTATGTTCTCAATTACACGGTAAAATAAGCATAATAAGTAGTAAATAGAGATATTAATTTGTCCAGTTCCGATATAACAGTTAAGTGCAGGTACACCAAGCAAATATTTACAGTGAACAAGTTTAATGATTTTATTTTATTTATTGAAACTTTATGGAAGACGTTTAACCAGGGAATTATCTATCAGAATTAGCATAATTACTAAGAATCATACGCTTCGTGTATAACGGAAAAGCATCATAAAATCACTGGTATCGATGATGCACGAAAACCAAACTTATTTTTTAAACGTCTTAAAATATACACCTTTCAAATTCAAAAATTCTTGAAAATACTTCACATTTTATCAAATACAAACTCCTATTCTCTACGTTAAATCTCCCAATTAAGAAACTAAGTTTCCATTATTAGAAATTAATTTTCGACTTACTTTTTCCTTTCGTTAGAAATTAGTCTTCCACTCACTTTTTTCTTCTATCAGAAATAAATCCTCGACGTTAATTTTTACGCAACCATATCGGTGACGCGGTATCATACTCTTCCCAGTTGTACCCCATTTACAAGACACCTTGTATAGGTAAATATCATAGTCTGAAAATTGACAAAGGCCGTGTAGCAAAGGTAAAAAATATAGAGGAAACGAAAGAGTGAAAACGCTCGAACGAGAGAAGATTATTCGTCGATCCGAATTAGTTTGCCGGGGAATATACACGGGGGATCGAAGCTTCTTTTGCGCCCCCTCGGGGTTGGATTTATTTTTGCGGCATATAGGCAGCATACCCGATAGATTTTCCAATGAGTTACGGGGTTGAAGGCGGAAAGCTCTGGAAGCGCGAGGGGTGCAGCCGGACAGAAAACGGTGGGATGGAGGGCGCGTTCGAGATCAAAGGGTTGGTCATCCCCCGCGCGTACCTCCGGCCAACTCAAATAACCGAGAGCTCGACCAGCGCCACTGGGCCGTCGTTGACGAGAGGCTAACCCTAAATAGCGCGAGCCAGCATGCTTTCACATCGTTCGTTCAATTTTCACCGGGCCAGGGGAGAAAGGAAGCTTCCTTTGGGGCTGATATCGCGACGTAAGGAGAAACCTTTGATTAACGCGACGCTAATTTCACAGTTTCGATTTAGCAGCAATTTTCTATCTCCTATCTTCATTTTCTTCGATTAGATCAAGATATTTAGGGATGGTGTCTTACGGTAATATTAGATTGATCAGAAAGTTGTTCATATATTTTGGAAGCAAAAGATTAATTATCGTTTCGACCGATATTTTTATTAACTAGTCTTCGTCGTTGAATATATCAAATTTCATTTTATTGTAAATATAGGAAGATTTATTATTTGGCTTTTTGTAGGATTATTATTTAGTTAGAAAAGAAAAACTCTTGCAGATTTTCCTATCCATCAATTGTATATTCTGTAACACATCTAAGGTGCAGCCTGTAATAGAACAATTTATCAATTGAATTCTTTATTGTTTATACTTTGACGATTAAAATATGCATACGTTTCACATCAATTTATAAGTCGTAAATATACGAGCAAAATTTGTGGGCGGAATGATCAACCTACTTTATAATATACCTATTAACTACAAATTAACATTTCCTCTTAGAACAATGTTTTTTGAGCGATGATTATTGTCCTAACGTGTATTATAAGATGTTAGTGCACGATTGAGAAACATCAAAATTTTATTTCACCACCCTAAGATTGTGAATATTATAAACATGTATAGTAAATATTTGAAGAGCTCATAACAAAAACAGCAGTTATTAATTTCAAAGATATGACTTATATTATCGTCAAATCAATAATATGATAAATGTACCATATCCTTCATTTATTGCTGAATGAAAATCTAGGTTCCATGTAACTTCATGATTTAATTAAACGCAACCCTTGAATCATATAATTACAAATATTGTTACAGCAATTTTGCAATACGAATATATGTCTAAAGAAAGACACTGAGATGTGATGTACTGAAATTAATAACACTGGAATATCCATGCTCTTTCTTGGACAAAGACAAACATAGATAAGAGTAGTCTTTAAAATTGACATAATGAAACATCAAGTTATATAGAAGATATGCTATGAGCTAGCAAAAAGTCTACGGAGCACTGGACGGCGTTAATCGACGAAAGTTACCAGCCAGCGGATGTCACAAAATTCGCGGCAAAGATGGAGGAGCAACGAGTGGATCGAGAAACGCCGACGCGAATTATCGATGTCCGATGTGGGGAAAAAAGTTAATAAAGGAAATACCCGGCATGCTTGATACTTTATCGAGGAATTTTGCCGCGTTATCGCTTTTGGATCCGAAGGCGACTCATTAAATCGACTCTCTATCTCTACCTTCGCCGAATATTTTCCACACGGGTTTCTTTCCGCGAGAAGATAATAAATTGCGCGGATAAATCCGCGAACATATGAAAATCTCTCGAACTTTGGTTGAAAAATTTCGCTTTATTTCCGCGAGACCATACCTGGTGGAACGTGAGATTTTCTGAGAGAAAAGAAGGTAAGAGCGGGAAGGGGATGAAACTGTAAGCGCGATGTTTCACATAGAAATTCGCGAATCCGGTTGCAAACGTAGAGAGAACGCGGGGGTTACCAGGCCAAAACGACGAACCATCCTCGACGAGGCAGCCGCCGCTCCCGTGGCAACCCCTTTAATATAATATTTAATCTAGCTTTGAACAGGCTTGTGGTTTCCGCCTCTAGAGTCGAGAAGCTAGTTCTCGCAAGCCTAAACCTCTCTCTCTCTCTCTCTCTCTCTCTCTCTCTTTCTCCCTTCCTGTATTCGAGACCAGGAGGGCAGCGTCTGCTTGGAAATATTCCCAGCTTCCAGACAGTCGCTTCTTACGATATTGTCGATGAAATTTCATTTTTTAGATCGAATTTATGTTATGGAAGATCGAGAGAAGGGTTTTGTATTTTCTTAAAGATCTTTCGATTATTCTTAGAACGATTCAACTATTCTCACGATGGCCATCCAATTACGACTATGCATTCTTTAGTGAAGGATATTGCGAAATCATAAATTAAAGTATTTACACACCCCTTTATCAATCAGAAGGGATGGAAAGTTAAATTTAGTTTGCAATCGTCATTCGTGAAACGATATGAAACTGCATCCGGGAAATTATTAATTTGGTTACTTAATTGTTAATTTAATAGCAAGAGAAATTTTAACAAAAATCTGAGAAACGGCGAAGGGCTACATTTACATAATAGCTTTTATGTAAAGCGATTTGCGAAATAGAAATACTGAAACGCGATGAAAGCTTCATATCGCAAGCGTCCTTCTATCAATCAAGTCTGCTCAATACCTAAATGAAAATACGCCTAGCGAAGCGATAATTAGTACCACAAATATCATGAGCATTAAATTCAAAGAAAATAGAACTGGAAGGTTAAGATCAAAGTTAGAATTAGATGACGCGACAGGGACGAAGGAGCAACATTCATCATGCAGATAAGCAGATCGAATACTTACTTTGACAGTTGGCTGGCATCGCGTGCCTGAAGGAGGACAACGGATCCCGTGGCTGCAATGGATTCGGCAGCGGCTGCAGGGGATTCGGCAAGGGTTGCAGAGGATCCACCAGTGGCGAGGCGAAAAACGGGCCGCCTCTTTGCGAGGCGAACGCGAACGCGTGGAACTGCTGCTGCTGCCCTAAAAGAGACAACACTGCGATCAACCGTGCGCCTGTCCACTGGACTTCCGGTAACCGCATCAATCCTTCTTCTCTTTCATGTTTTTTATTTAAAAGATATGAATCCTTCGTTAAAAACTGAACAAAATACCATTGAAACATTTATGAATCATAATGAATCTTCATCCTGAATAACTTTGACGAGGAACTAAAATTTCTGTTTCAATTACAATCTTTATTATATCGCTTCTATATTATTTACTCTTTACTACAGTTACTTATGAAACTCTATGTGTCAGTGGAAGCAATTCGTTACATAGATATTTTGGTAGAGATAATGAACTAGAATTTATTTAATATTCAGATTCGGAAGTTATATTTTATAAAAGGATCTAATAAGGAATATTTCATTTATTTGATTTAAGGAATACTATTCATCATTGTTCAGATATGAAAGAAACTATTATACGTTTCTTCGTCGTTATGCGTATGCAAAAAATATGCAAGACAGTTAAAATAGAATAAAGCCTACGCTTCATAAATTCGTCGCCAAAGAACGCTTCACCTATCCTACGCACTCTTCAGGGGAAAGAAACCTCCTCCCTCCATCCTCAACTAAATTCATCAAATTTCATCGAACAGAACTACGCCTCAACTCGGAAATTTCTTCAGATCGCGCTTCAAAATTCTATCTTCGATCTGACCACCCCAAAATTCTCCCTCTCTCTCTCTCTCTCTCTCTCTCTCTCTCTCTGGGGAAACAGAGAGAACAGCTCTTCACTAATGCGTGCCCACTGTCCATACTCTCAAAAGTACCTCAATTCTCATTTATCGGCTTTTATTTCCCTAGGCAACCGGTGTTCTCTCTCCGATCATCTTGCACGAGCTAGGTACACGAGCTCACAGTTTCGAACGAGTAAAACCGAATACAGGGAAGAGGTGAACAGGTCGAGGAGACAGGTCGAGGCAGCGATTCATTTTATTTCCCGGGGACGGTGTCGCCAACCCAATTAAAGACGTCCCAACAGGCGAGAGAGTGTGCTATCTGACGAGGCTGCTGCTACTATGGTCAGGTTAGGTTAGGCCAGTCTGGCACCACACGTGGACCTGGCTTTCCTACGTGAACCGTCGAAATCTACGAACCAACACCGGCGCCACGGGAGAAGGCACCGGAGACCAAAGCCAGGAGGGAGCACAGAGTGAGAGAGGGAGAGAGATGGAACGAGGGACAGAGATCCCCACGTCGTCCTGATAATCCAATCGAAGCCCTAATTCTAACTCGGCAACCCGAAATTCCCGCCGGTTTGCTGAATAGGGTACGCTGCACGATCCCGGGGACACAATGGGGGCGCGACGGTGGAACAGGGGCCAGGGCTAACGAGATCTATCGTTAAACGACCGACACCATCCTTCGTACGCAGTGAAACTTCCAACACGAAGAAATTTGCCGACGACTTCCTTACGTCAAACGTTGGGCAGAATTGCAAGGATTTCGTAAATTGCAGAAGGTTCGAAGAATTTGTGGGAATCAGATATACGCGAATTTTCATGCATTTATGGGAAATTTGAAGATGTAATGGTGCATAGAAATCAGGGAAACATAGTACAATGCTATGAAAACGGTCTTTTTTAATATTGTCATAGTATGACATTCTTCTAAATAACATTCTTGTCTATCTACCTCCATGGACACTGTCAAACCTGACCAAATTTTCTCGTGCCTTCTCGCATCATCCCCAAAGTGTATCATTATGAATTTAAGCAGAAACAAAGGACTGCAATCTCCAAGAAGCTCGACAAACCTCCTTTCATCATCCAACATCGAGCAGACCCCGATCCAAAGACCCATTTCCAAGTGATTAATGATCGCAACAGATCTTTCCACGAGGACATCTCGTAAGCGAATTTTGCCAATTTACTTTCACAGACCTTGTCAAACCGGACTAAATTTTCTTACACCGTCTCCAAGATATCAGTATCGATTTAACCAGAAACAAAAGACCTCGACCTCCGTGAAGATCAACAAAGCTCGCTTCATCGGAGAATCAAGCAGACCTGATCCAAAGAGCCACTTCAAAGCGTTCAGCGGCCGCAACAGATTTTTCCACGAGGATTTCGCAAGTGACTCGGACCTTCTCCAGACTCGTTACTATCGATTTCATCGGACACCCCTTTACGCGTTGCGACCGGCGACTGCCAGGGAATTTCTCGAGAGTTAGCAGCTGGCTGCGACAGCTTCTCATTTCGTTCCGTCGCCCCCGATCGACCCTCTC